TTTAGGATCAATCCCTTATCGATCAGTCGCGACCCAAGATTGCTGATGAAGTCTTTAAAGCGTTAACAGGTCAAGTCGTTTTCAGCCATCACATAAATAACCTCCAGTGGACACGAATATCAGCTTTACTAGTAGGTGATTACTAAAAAATACGAACATTCTAGCTATTTCTAAGTGTCTCTTTTTTTTGGTTTGAGAGAAAGATGAGGTGGTTTTGATGCGCCACTAAGAAAGGACACCTAAAATCAAAATTAAGCGCAAAAAATTGTACTATTTTTGCAAAATTTGACACAAAAAACCATTTTTTCAAACGAAAAAATGCCGATAAAAAAACCCAAATAAAAACACAACAGAAAGGTGGTGAGGTAGGAAAGTAATATTTCGGAACTTCGATTTAGGAAATCTCTCCCCCTTCTGTGCCCCCCTCCCCCCCTCTTTCTACCTCGCCTCGCCCATCTCAATAATCCTCTTCAAACAAGTGAAAATTATTAAAAACATGCAAAAAATTACCTTGATGGTCGCCTGGCTCGATATCCACCGCCTCCTACATAGAATGTCTTGACGATGACGCGCATGTTGCCACGACCGCGACCACGTGGTGGTCGATTTGTCGTACTAACACCAGGTCGATTTGTTCGTTTCGCGCAAACCTAAACAAATTCGGCAGAATTTTTCACAAGCGTCATTTAATTCTTCCATCACAAATCTTCACGCCATCAATGCAACTGGTAACTTGTTTGGAATGCTTGTTTCTACTGTCTTAAAAAAAGAAGCTCATATCTCTAGCGATCAAAATTTCACAATAAAATAAAAATGACCTTGATTTGACGCCCGCGAAACAATGATTCATCCAGTGCAAGCGCAGTTTGAACTGCTTCTTTATCGCTGAATTCAATGTACGCAAATCTGAAAGCATCATTTGTTATTGCTTAAGTCTGAAAAAAAAATTTGAAATTAACAAAATTCCCCACTGAAATGAAAGGAAATAAAAAACACAAAATTGTTAAATACTGAGAAAAAGTGGTACCCTTTTGGATGGCCAGTATATTTGTCCGTTAAAATTGTCACTCTGTTCACCGAGCCACATCCATGGAAATGCGCTTCTAATTCCTCAGCTGTGGAACAATAATCCACCTAAAAAAAATAATAAAGAGCACAATATGCCGAAGAAATCATTAACAACAACAGCAATGAAAATTTCACAGTTATGGAGATCGTCAGGACTACTGATGTGAAAGCTCGATATTACCACGTCTCCTGGATTATAAGCGTTCAATTTATATCCACCATCTCTATTATGCAAGCAAACAACCTTTGCTTGAATAATTATGAGAACTACGTGCTGCATGTCAGTTTTTTCTCCTCTCCTATTACCTCAATTGCCTCCTTTCAAACAGCTTGCTACTTAACATTTTTACATGGTGATTCCCACCTCTAACCACGCCTTACGCTCTCTGTGTTTACACTCAAGGGATGAAAGACTGGCAGACGACCAAATTCCAAATATTCCTCTTTACAAGATTTCTCAACACGCCATACGGTTTGTACCATATTAACAGCCCTACTATCTTCCCCTTCATAATCTATTCACTATTTACATCCTAGTTTCTGAAGTAATCGGCCAGTCCGAAACGCGGAAAATATGGAACGGGCATTACTCATGAATTCCCATGAAATATGGAACGAGCATGAAATTCATGAGTAATGCCCGTACCATATTTTTCGTGGTTCGGACTGGCCGAATTCTTCAGAAACTACGGTTCGACCTGCCAAAAGCCGTAAATTTATCAATTTAACTCACTCCAACCGCTTCACTTGAACCGTCCACTTATGATTCGGCCTTCCAATGGCTGTTACTCATCATTCGCATAATACTACCCAAATTTGAGAGGAAAATCACCAGCAGGCTGACCATCAAGTGGCTGAGGAAGCGAGGCGAAAGGGAAAAAAGGCAGTAGTGGTCAAAATAACTAAAAAAACTGCCAGCTACATATCTGGAGAGAAAAAAAACTATGAATTACAGCTTGGTTCAACTATCCAAAACAAGCATTTCTGAGGTATTCTAACCAATTTACTGAAAAAAATTATCTATATTTCTGACCAAAAAAAAAGGAAAAATTACTTACATTACCAACATAGATCGACCTGCTGTCTGCCTCGATCTTATCCTCAATAGAAACACCGCCGGCTGCGCCGCCACTGCCCTGCGAAGCATTGGTACTGGTACTTATATTCATCTGTCTTTCAACGTCCGTTTGTATCTTACGTATTTTCAGTACCTCTTCTTCAAACTGCTTCACACGATTCGCCAGTGCTTCCATATCCTGAAAAAAAAACCCCTTCTACCAACAGATTCACTATTAATTCCGTCCTATCTAGTAGCAGAAAACATCGAAACTACAACGGCTATCACTTTGAGTGGTATTCGCTGTTAGTGACGCTACTTAGATGCGTGAGCCGTACGCCGTGCACAGCTATGCCAAGCTCTTTGTTCAAAGGCTGCATATACCTCCAGTTAGTACCCATCGCCTGTTCAATGTATGTATGCCATCTCTGGTCGCCCGAGTGGTCGTTTACTTTCTCGTGGATATCATTCTCCAATACACTAACAGTTGCGCAAGATGGACAGAGGATGGACAAAGAACAACAAATCGGAGGCGCATGGAAACGATTTGCAAAAAGCTTTTACGAAGATCTATTTGCGTCTTCCGTCAATGTCCAGAGTCCTAACATTTCCAAAAGCCTTCTCTATACCCGTTATCATTCCCAGCGAGGTCGAAGTCGCGATTCGCTCCAAGAAGAGGAATGCCGAAGAACGAACTAAAAGTCGGAGGTGAAACGACAAAAAAAATGCCTTAAATATTTTATTTCATAAAATAGCCTTTTTGGCGAGGTATCTCATAGAAATTCACGAGTGGTCATCTACGAGGGAAGGGGGAGACATTCTGCGAATAATCGATACATAAAAGGAAATAATCGAGACAGCTAAAGCTTGCCAAGTAACTTTGTTATGAGAGCTACTGAGCTGCTGATTCCTCTAGGAGACAGGAAACGGATGTCAGGACAATTAGCTGACCACCAGGCGAT